AATAAGCCAGAGACAGACAAATACCATATGATCTCTCTTGTGTGTGGAATATAATGAACAAAACAAACTGATGAACAAAATAGAAACAGAGGTATGGAAATAGCTGTCAGAGGAGTTGGGGATAGAGAGACTAGATGAAAGAAAGTGAAGAAATTTGCCAAAGAACATATATGTATTACCCATAAACACAGTTTAGTGATAGCCAGAGGGAAGGAAGGACAGAGGCTAGGTGGAGATAGGCAAAGGTCAGGATGGAGGGTTGGAATGGGGACACCTGTAATAGTGTCAACAATAACAATAAGTTTAAAAAATTAATTAATTAATTTAAGAAAAACAATGGATGCCCTTGAAATAGTTTTAATCAGACTTTTGTTTTTAAAATATGGCTTATAGTACTTCTTATAAGAAACCCCAAAGGAAAAATGTACTATCAAAAAAAGTTCTCTCTTTGAGAGATATGTACCTGTCTTTCTCTTAGATAACATTCTCTGTAAATGACTACATATTCTTTTCACTGTGCCAGCCAGAAAGCTTAAAGCATATCTGAAGCTCTTGGGCTCTTACTGCCTGCACATTTGTGTTCCCTTCCCCAACCTCTCTCTCTCTCCTTCTCCTTCTCCCTCTCCTACCCCTCCCCCCTGTCTAAATCAATTTTTAAAACAGAAGAAGAAAAGATAGAGAGGAAGAAGCTTGCTCAAAGCAATGCAACAATTAATATGGTGCAGCCATATCTGCTTGGCTTCAAAGCCCATACCATTCTATTACAACATCAGTTAGGAATCTTCTAGTTGAAAGAAATACTTTAAGAATTTAAATAAGCTCAATAAGCAGTATCATAAGAAAGAAATGAATATTAAATAAAAAAGGCAAGCCAACTGTCTTTCCTGAAATGCAATTAGAAAATAATTGAATCAAAACAATTTATTTAGATTTCAATTATAAATAACATATTTTTTCAAAACTATAGAAGTTATATAATTTCTTCTTTCAATCAGGATGGAGTGACAGGAACTGAATTTACCTTCCTGCCTGAAACAACCCTCCACATCCAATAAACAAACAAACAAACAAACCAAAACAAAACAAAACAAGAAAAATATACAAAACACTGGTTTATAAAACATTGAACATCAGGCAAAGAAGGAGGGTGATCCCTGACACAGGAAATAAATGAGATGAGGCCAATGAATGCCTTGAGAAATTGTATAGCCCACAAAATAGTGAGAGAAAACCCAGGCTGAGCCCAGCAAAGTCCTTGAGTTGAAGAGACAGCGCTGAGGGTCTAGAAAGAATAAGGTGAACAGAGGCTACAAAATAGAATACCAGAGCAGAGAGAGCTACACAGAGAGAACACTAGAGATCTGCAGAGGTCCTCCTTCAGCATTCAGGAGTGTACTGATTGATACATGTCTGTGAGAAAACTACCAGAGGCCAAAGAAAGAACCATCTGAGAGGATTAGAGAGAACAGTGCCTGGTACCAGGAATAATGCCTGTTCCTACTGGCCAGACTAGAAAAAATAAAAACAAAAAACAAATAAAAAAACTGAACTTATGGGGCACTGAGGAAAGTACTCCAATGTGGGAAATAATTAGACTTAGACTGAGCACTGCTCATATCATAAAAGGAAGACCCAAATGGATCGAACTATTTCCAAATAACTTAACTACAATCCAGAACAAAGATCAAGATGAGTTATAGAAACACAAAAACTATGTGGCAAACAATAAGGTAAAATTGACAATGTCTGCCATCTAATCAAAGACTAGCAGGCATATAAAAAAATTGGGAAAATCTAAAAAACTGACGAGAGCTTCCCTCCTTCCTTACTTCCCTCCCTCCCTCTTTCCTCCTTCCTTTCCTCCTTCAAATAAAGAATAAGTATTAAAAAAAACTGATGAGAAATATCAACCGCCTAAAACTGATCCAGAACTGATAGAGATACCAGAATTAGAAGACATGGACACTATAAGTTATCAAAACTATATTCTATATGTTCAAAAAGAGCTAACTAAAAACACAGAAAATGTTTTAGAAAGGGGGGGAGGGGCCTAGTCCAGTTTATAGAACTGAAAATGATTATGTCTGAGATGAAAAATAAAGTAGATAAGATTAATGGCAGATTAAACATTGTAGAAGAAAGATTAGTAAACTTAAAGACACAGAAATAACAACTATCCAAAATGAGATACAGAGAGATATAGGAATTTTGTTAAATGAAAAGCACATCAGTGAGCTGTGGGACAATATCAAGCAGCCTAATATATGTATAATGGCAATCTCTGAAGAAGAGGAGAGAGGGGTGAGTCAGAAAAATTAGTTAAAAAAATAATGGCTGAAATTTTTCTGAATTGCCCTGGCTAGTGTTGCTCAGTGGTTAGAGCATTGGCCTGTTCTCCAAAGGGTCATGGGTTTGATTGCCAGTCAAGAGCATGTACCTGGGTTGCAGGTTTGATCCCCAGTCTTGGTTGGGGCATGTGTAGGAGTCAAGCAATTGATGTAAATCATCCATGTGAACCATCGGTGTTTCTCTTCCCCCCCCCCTTCTTTCTCTCTCCCTCTCTACCTTTCTCTCTCTCTAAAAATCAATGGAAAAAATATCCTCAGGTGAGCATTAATAAAAAACAAACAAAATTTTTAATTTGATGGCAGCTATACACTCACAAATCCAAGAACTTCAATGAACACCAAACATAGGAATTGTAAAGAAAAAAACCAAAGGCACATCATAATAAAATTGTTAAAACCAGTGATATCAGAAAATCTTAAAAGCAGCCAAAACAAAAAGGCACATTACATAGAGGGAAATAAAGAAAAAGATGACAGCAGATTCTTGTCAGAAGTAATGCAAACAAGAAAACAGTAGAGCAACATCTTTAAAGTAATGAAGGAAAAAAGTCAACCTACAAATATATACTCAGTACAAATATGTTTCAAAAACAGACAAAATAAGATTATTTTAGACATACGAAAGCTGAAAGATTTCATCACCAACAGACTCCCACTACATGAAGTGGTAAAGAAGATCCTTCAGGCAGAAGAAAAATGATACAAGATTTAAATAATGTATCTACACAAAAATGAAAACATGCATCTACATATAAGGATGTAGCAATGATAACTCCACTGCTAAACATATAAGATTTTTAAAAAATACTAAAATCCCTTTTAAAACACAATTGACCTTTATTTATTTTATTTTATTTTTTATTTTTTTCAGATAGAGCAGGAGGGAAAGAGGGAGGAAGAGAGAGGGGGAAACATTGATATGAGAGGGATACATTGACTGGTTGCCACCCACACGGCCCCAACCAGGGCTGGACGAACTGCAACAGAGGTATGTGCCCATAGTGGGAACCGAACCTGGGACTCTCCGGTGGGCAGGCTGATGCTCTAACCACTGAGCAAAACTGGCCAGGGCCATAATTGACCTTTTAGACAAAAGTATCAACACTGTATTTTGTGTTTTATAAAACAGGTATAAAAAAAATGTATAATAAGAACATAAGAACCAGAAAGGCAAATTAGAAGTTTATTACTGTAGCCCTGGCCGATGTGGCTCAGCGGTTAGAGAGTCGGCCTGTGGACCGAAGGGTCTCAGGTTTGATTTCCAATCAAAGGCCAGTACCTGGGTTGCAGGTTTGATCCCCGGCCCCTGTCAGAGTCATGCGGGAGGCAACCAATTGATATATCTCTCTTACATGGATATTTCTCTCTCTCTCTTTCTCCCCCTCTCCCTCCCTTCCAGTCTATCTAAAAAAATCAATAAAAAAAAATCCTCGGGTGAAGATTACAAAAATAAATAAATAAAAAGTATATTATTGTAAGGCTCTTATACTATATGTGTAGGACTAAATATTACTTGAAGGTAGACTATAAGTTAAAAATTTGTATATGTGTGTTCATTGCAATTCATGTGAAAAAGCCAAAAACTGAAATCAACCCAGATGTCTATCAACACATGAATGGATAAGCAAATTGGTATATATTTATACAGTAGGATCTACTAATAATAGAAAGAAATGACAAGGTGATACATACAAAAAAATGGACGAATCTTAGACTAATTATACTGAGAGAAAGAAACTAGACAAAGAACACACACTGTATGATTACATTTATATAAAACTCTAGAAGACACAAACTGTAGAGTCAGAAAACAGATCAACGGTTGCCTGGTGGTGAGATGGGACAAAGCAGATTACAAAAGGCACAACAAACTTTTGAGAGTGATGGATATCTTGACTGTGGTGGTGGTTTCTTTCACATATGTAAAACGTATTAAACTATACACATTAAGATATGTGCAATTTATTGTATATAAGCTATTTCTCAATAAAGCTGTTTAAAAGTCAATTTTGGATTTAAATTTAGGTTAAAAACCAAAACTATTTAGACTACCTATAGTGCTCTGGCTCCACAGAGTAAAAGTAAAATAGATAAAAGCTAGAACTAATACCATATTTATAATTTTTAAGGGTTAGAATGGATCAGAGAAACTACTCAAATACTTTCTTATTAGAGATAAAAGAAGTCCCAGAAACGTACAGTGTGACTTGCCCAAGGTCTTACAGCTAGAGTTAAGGGTTCACTGAACTGTTTAAGATCCACAGTGGCAGGGATTGTGTTATTTAGGCCACTACTGTCTCCTTTAAGGACATAGTTAAGAGACCAATAAATAGTTGTTAAAAAGGAGTGTAAGAAGGAAGACAAAGAAAAGAAAATCTCCCTTGCAATATGACTGAAAGTTTATCCCTACCTTCAATTCTCCAATCTCTTTAATACAGATGAGAAAATTAAGCAGTATTTTTAATATCATAAATATAAGAGAATAAATTATATTCCGTATTTTTAGCTTGCTGGATATTTTATTATATTCCAATGCTTACATATGTCTGATTCATGTTACCAACTCTTATATAGGCAGAAGAATAGAAAATACTCCATTCATGAAAATTATTGGCAATTTCAAATATTAAAAAATGAAGGAAAAGTGCTTACCCAAAATTTCTCCATTTTTGGCATATGCTATCACAAGGTACAACATGTTTTTGATCTCCATTACCTACTGAAAAATAATTCCATATTAGTTTGACAAGAAAGAATTGCAATTTACTACATTTTATAGAGTTACTTATTTTAAAACTACTAATAAACGTGTCAAAGTTACGAACAATTCAGAAGTTGGCAAAGTTTACAAGACACAATATCCTTATTCTGACACTTGGGTGAAAAATCCTTGCTCTTCCAAGTGTGGTCCATGGACCAGCAGTAGCAGCACTGCCCAGGTATCTGTTAGAAATGTAGGATCTCAGGCCCCACCCCAGACATACAGACACAGAATTTACGTTTCAATGAAATCCCCAGGTGATTATTAAGCACATTCAAATTTGGTACTTAGAGACTCAGATCAAAAAAGAATAATAAGATACAGCTCAGTTTATCTGGCCTGTAGCCTAGCTAATCTGGCACAATGTGATATTCCTCCTACTATAGTTTAATATTGCAACATAGTATGTATTATTTTAAAACAATGTTCAAAAGCTTCTTCATAATTCGGTTTCTAACATACACTTTTATTTACATTAGTTTTTCTAGGTTCATAAAAGAAGCCTGTCATTGTCATAAATCTGATTTTTCAAACTATACTGAACTGAAAGGAAATGAATTTATAGATTCAAAAGGAATGAATTTTAGCTTGCTTCTCTGTAACACTATCATTTTATATACTGGCACATGCTAATAGCATAACATTGAACTACTATCTAACAAATTTTCTCTAACATGTAATAGGAATAGGACTATTCCTATCAGGCCAGAAGACTAAGAGCTACCTATAATTTGGATCTAAACAAGCCAAACAGTAAATCAACTTAACTGATTATTTAGTTCTAATAAATATAGAATTATCATGTGAAGCCTGGTAATTTTAATCTCACTTTGGCTTATGGTTCATCAGAGACTTCTGCGAATGTGAATATTTTCTTATAAGTACACTCTTCGGAAACTGTTTTTAAAGCATAAAGGGAGAAGTACTCTCGTACACACTTGACCTAAGAGCTCCTCTGTAGTTTTAAACTTCAGGAATTGTTTTGAGTGACACAACACAATCTCTTATTTTTAGCTAACTGTAATGCTAATTGTCCCCATGCCTTTTTAATTGCAAATTTCTATCAATAAAAATTTGTTTTGCCAAATATAGATATGTAGGTGCACATGCATGTACATGTATATATACATAAAAATATGTATATGTATTTATAAATACATACATAAAGAGAAACAAATTACATACTTGTGCCACTGTCTAAATACATTATGTACATTATCAATGCAAACAAGAAGATAAATCTAAAAATTAAATATAATTAGAAGTTCAAATACTTTCTTAAAGCCCAATGGACACTTACGCTAACCCATTTCAGTGCACACACTAGTGTGCTAGGACCAGGTCTCTGAGGGGGGAAAAAAGATTGACGTGTAAACCAGCTTCTATGGTGTACAATAGTCCTACCATCACTGACTCTGAGCTACTAACATGATATTTATCAGCTTGCAAAATTTCTGAAATTTTAACAATCAGCTCTCAGCAGCCAGTACAGCTGAGTCCAGCATACTACTAGTTACACACATCATACTTGAGAGGTCAAAGTCACAGTGTAGCATACTGTAACATTTTAGTTTAAAACTAGTTTTCTAATATAAAAATTCTACATATTAATGAATTAAAATATGACAAGCATTTGGTATTATGTTACCATTCCTAAACATGAGTTACTCTCTAAAATCCCGAGAAAAATCTTTCTTTTAAAACACATGACTTACACTTAAAATGGGTACAGTTTCATTTTATAAAGAATTATATCTTAATAAAGTTGCTTTTTAAAAAATGGCTCATTTATTTTATCTAGTAAAACAACCCAAACAAAATATAAGATTTGGCTCTAGGTATTAGAAAGTATGTCACTAAGTAATATACTATTTTTTGCCTTTGCACTTCATTAAACAAGAACAGTTTATTTTTCAAATAAGCAAAACTCCCATGTCCTCATTCATGATACCAATATCAAAACCCAGCAGGTTTAAGCATGGTATCACAAATGCGCAACTATAGACTTTTTAAATAAATAACTTAGGGTCTAAGAGACAATATAAAGTTTTTACTTTCCTAATTTTTTATTTAAATATAGAAAGATGAATGTACTCAACTTACTAAAAGTATGACATATCTTTTTTTTATACATTAAAAAAACTAACATAAGGAAAATGATGATGCAAAAATAGAGAACTGAATGTGAGAAGCATGGAGAGTGTAAGGCTAAGTCATACCTGATAAAGTTTGATTATGTGAGGATGATCTAGCATTCTCATTATTTGTACTTCTCGGTAGATTTTCTCAAGGCTCACTGCATGCAGCTGAGATTTATCTATAATTTTTATCACCACCTGCATCCCATACACAAAAAAATATAATTAGTATACAATGGTTAATACTTTCCAGTCAGAATCTTTTCAATGAATGACATCTGAGACTTCGCCTGTAGGTTCCTATGACAATGATAGCTAGATTCAATACTCATGCTTTCATTCAGCAAATATTCCTTAAATTCTACCATGTGTAAGACACTGTGCTAGATTTTGTTTGTGAGTGTCTTCAGTGTGCTATGAAGAATAACACTGCAAAGTTCCTTCAACAAAACATAATTTATCTTTCAATACAAATGTTATGCCTTTGTACTCATTTATAAATTACATAAATAAAATTTCTTTATAAATTAAATAAAATTTCAGCAGTTATCATCTCATCGAAAAGTACCTATAAATAAGTGATCAGCCAAGTAGAAGAAAATTTCTATTGTACTGAAATCAATTTTACTAGAAAAGCAAGTGATAGATTCCAAAGAATACAGACCAACCTTTTAGGTAAAAAGTTAAATAATAAAGTATCAAAATCCATCCCCATTAAAAGATATCCATTGGATTAAACTTTGTTCTCAAGATCAAAGTGCAAAAACTCAAATATTAGTAATTACACTAAATTTTGACTTTAATAAAGGAATATGATATTTTAAATGTGGCCTCTTCCTGTTATAACTAGATAGGAACCCAAACCACTCCAAGGTTAATAATTTGAAGGAGCTGAATTTGAAGGTGAATAACTAGGCAATCAAAAATCAACAATCATGTACCTTTTTTCTCATGCAACAACAAATAAACTTAATTTTTAAAAATTAGTATATATTTGGTTAGAAAATAAGCCATTCTGATTTAAATAAAAATTTCAGATAACTAGACACCACCCAAATTTAAGTACAATAAGTTCTGAAGAAACTCTAAAATGTACTTCTCATTCTATTCTGAACATAATTGTTTATGTTGCTTCGGGGTAATTTTTAATATAAATTATTGTATGCGCTATAATAGTTCAACACTCTGAAAATATATCTAAAAAAATAGGATTCAGCTTGTCAATTTCCTCAGACTCTCATTTATACAATTAGTTATTTCTTCTTTCCTAATGGCTACTCTGTCCTTTGCTGTTACCTCTACTGTAAGGTTTATTTCTTACATTCTCTATTTCTAATTTGCTCTCACAGTTTGTTTCCTGATTTGAATTAATTGTAACACACAGAAGAACTCAAGTTCCCAAGGGATATCAGATTACTAAATATAATGATTAAAATTAAAATTTTGACCAACAAGAAAGGGGGTAGTTTCTTTGCTAGGCAGTAAAGTATATAGGTTTTGCAATAGCTATTTTGATTATGTTTGTTAGTATTTTGCTTCTATAATCAAAATATTCTAGAAAGTAAAGAGTGCTAAATTTTGACTGCTAGAAATGAGTATATAGAACAGTATTATCATTTACTTTGGGTAACAGTTGACAGATAAAAAGATAACTGTATAGTTGAATCTTTTCAATATTACTTAGAAAGGTAACATGGGCATATTTTGAAGAAAATGTGTTGTCCTACAATTTCTGGAGTGTGTCTAGACGCCAGTAACCCCTCCCCAACAGAAGTCTTTAAAAACAAAATGGTTTACAACCATCTAATAAATAGGAAAAGAATTGGAGTGAAAAAAATCATGGTTTTTAAAATGCATGATAACTGCATGATAACTGTCATTAAGAAATTTTTTTATTTCATAGAATACATTGAGCATCATATTTAATGTTAAATAAAATGTCTGATACTAAATACCAATTAAGCAAGGTATTACCAAGAAATACCTCCTCTTTTCCTCTTTTACACTCTTTTGGAACCTTGGCCTCAAACAATAAAAAAGTAAAAAATATATAAATTATCTAATTCAATTTTAACAAGTTATAAACCTCATTTAACTTTTCTCAGCAAAAAAAAAAAAAATTACGCAAAACTTGTAAGAAAAAACGCTACGAAATCACTCAAGTTTTCAAATGCCCCTCACCTTACACTGCCATTCTGAAAAATAAAAAGGCCCTGCTATTCCACATTCAAACTCTAGTACATCCACATTAACATGGGGAAAAACTGAAAAGGATGAAAACTGGAAAAAACAAAACTGAAAAAGGATAAAATTCCAGAACAGCCACAACGAGGTATAGTGGAATACGTAAAAACACAAAAGGTTTTATTCTAAAGAATGGTTTTGTTTCTACCGTTTTTCTAAAGTATTTAACTTGCACATCTTAAAAGAGGGGCCCTGAGGAGGGCAGCTTGAGGCAGTGGAAGGAAGGGGCGGGTTAGGTAAGAACAGAGACCTGTGCGAAAAGAAATTCGTTGCATTACAATGTGTAATGGAAATGGGACACTGAATTCACCGTCGAAAAGCATTTGAGAGCTTCTTGAGTGCAAAGCGGAATCTGCTGTGGCTTAGGAAATGCATATTAACAGCCAGAAGTCACACCTGGTAAAGGGACAACCAAGGACAGGAAAGACCAATCCACCAGTCGTGCAAATGCACAGTTGACCGTTTTAACCAGTTCCATAGCTTAGAGTGTTAGATCAAGCCAGCCTGACACCAAATTAGAGACACAGTCAGGCAAAAGATGGCAGAGAAGATGGACAGGGGCCGTCCGGGCGTTCTCGGCCACCGAGGTCCCTTCCTCGCGGGGGTGTGGGAGAGCCAGGGTGACGGGGAACGCACGTTACCCGGTGTCCCAGGTCCGAGCGCAGGTGGTCCCCTCCTCCGGGCTGCCGACGTCTCTCACCCGCAGCCCGGGAGCACAGAGACTTCCCCTGCCACCCCACGCCAGCCGAAAGCAGGGAAGACTCGGAACTTGGGCTCCGGAGCAGAGGCCACTACCAGGTCATGGCCAGGGTGGAAGGCTCTGTACAAAATTCCGCGTGGCCACCAGGAAGGGCCTAGGGAAGGCAAAGCCCTGGTTGGTCGGGTTTCCTATCGGACAACACTCCCTTCAGCGCTCACCGATCCCTCCCCTGCACCTCCTGCGTCTTCACAATCCCAGGCACTCTCGCATTAGCTAGTGACCCGGCCTTTGGGTCTCCCCAGAGCCCCGCTGCAGCCGCCCCTCTGGTAAACAGGTCCTCTCCCAAACCCTCGCTTTGGACGCTCCCGCCGAGCCCTGGGCCGCACCTCGGTCTAGGTGATACGGTGCCGCCCTAGCTTCGCCACGGCGAAGTCGCCCTTGCCCAGCGTGCCCTCGACAGAGTAGAACCCCACCCAGACCCCCCGCGCTGCAAGTGCCTCGGGCTACAGCCCGACCGTGCTGGACCGGGGAGATAGACACCGCGGACTGGAGCGCGGACTGGAGCACGGACTGGAGCGCGGGCGGGCGGACGGCGTGGCCGAGCTCCGCGAGAGCAGATCGACTTGCTCCTCGGCTGGGCCTCTCCAGCTCCGCTGGGCCCAGCCAGGCGCGAGCCGCCGCCGTGCGCCGACTGCAGGGGGCAGCGGCGGGGGGAGGCGGGGGCAGGGGGGGAGGCGGGGGCGGGACCGGGCCACGATTGGTCACCGTGGAGACCTGAGCAGCTAGGACCTTGGCTGATGGAGGGAGGAAGGGAAGACGGGCGGGGCCTGGACCGCGTGTTCTTTCTGGGGTGCGGCACTCGCAGCTCTCCGGGCCACCTGGACACTACCTGACGCTGGCGTGCCCCGAGGCTCTCCCGGTTCCTTGACGTCCCAGCCAAAGGCCGCGAACGAGCGGAGGAGCGGGAGGAGGGGTGCAGCAATCTGGACGCGGCCTGCGGTCTCCTTCCCCAGCTCAGGAGTTCTCCGCCCACCCAAGGACCTTTTGGCCAAAGCCTTTCACCTATGACTGCAGTGTGTCTTCAATTTGACATGGGCAGTGAACTGTGGCTGAGCAATGCATTGTTCACAGGCTCGTTTCTTTGTATCCTTTTCTCATTTTGTTTCTTTTCAAATTCCCCCAGCACGGTCGCTTACAGATTAACAGGGCATTAGTGTTGAAGAGACCCTAGAGATCGCTTAATACAGGGATCTGTAACCTCAACTGGGTTTCGGCGCCTCAACCCCTCTAAAACGGATGCAAATTTTTGCCTACTCGAGCTTGTCTCTGGGGAGTTGATACTATATCTTTTATCAGATTCCCAAACCCTGAAAAGGTTAAGAAATGCATACTTATCTATTGCATTTTCGTTTCAGACTGGAGATCAAGCTACAAGGAATAAAGGGAATTGCCATGGTCATTCAGGAAATGCTAGAGTTAGAATTTCAAATCACACCAGTCTTCCATATGATGACCCAAGGAAACAAGTACAGTGTTATTTCAATATTTTGAAACATATTAAGTACCTCCAGATCTTGGTTTCTAAATGCCATTCTCGACCAAATGCAATCAAACTCTGGAGAAACAGCTGATTCCAGGGCAGAGAGAGGGAAAGTATTAAATGCCTTGAAAGATCTATTGCAGTAATGCAGCATAGGAAATAAAGTTAATAATATGCTCATAACTAAGTATGGTGCTCATAACTAAGTATGGTTACTGGAAATATCAGGGGAAACACTTTGTATATTATTGTCTAACCACTATGTTGTACACCTGAAACTAATACAAAATAATATTGAATGTAAACTGTAATTGAAAAAAAAATACATAAACATATAGCCCTAGAAAAAAAGACTAAAAGGATATATAAAAATAAAAAAAAAAACAATAATTATTTCTGGGAAAAAAAGGAAATGGAGCTAGCTTTTGAATGTACCACCACTTACTAAAAGTGGGACAATTTGAGCATCATGAATGAATAATGATAGAAATGGATTATGACAATGAATTTTTTAAACCCATCTTTATTGTTGAATGTATTACAGATGTGCCCCCCTCCAATTTTTTAAAAGAATCTATGCATGTATACTTACTCTTAAAATTTGTAGTATGGGAGGATGACAATTCTTGACAATGGAATGCAAACTAACAGTCATACAAGAAGTGAAATTAGGAAAGTCACCATTTTGAACCATTA